TGTTTTAAATATAGGTATGACACATTGACTTTGCCATGAACAAGGAATAAGTTTCCTTACCCAAAGATTATTAAGAATCTCCAGAAATAACTTTTGTATAGGTTCAGGTAAATTTTTAATTAACATGTATGGAAAATCATCTAAACCTGGAGTTGTTTTTCCTAGACTGTATGGTCATTGTAAATTCACTGTAACATTTTCACAGCTAAGAAATTTATTCTAACAAAACAGTTTACCTTTATGCTGGTCGTAATTTGCGATTTTTGAACACATTATAGAAAGTTTATGATATGTATGTAGATAACATAAATTAATCCATAAACAAATCGCATATTATCCATCTACAACGATTTCACCAAAGTGCCAAAAAATAATCAGCGCCGCAGAACTTATTAACAAAATATCTATTTCTTGGACTGAGGTATGCATTCATAATTTCGCTGAGTTATTTTGTACCGAAAATTCCTTTACGTCCTTTTTTACATTATAAATACGCAGGAGTAAAATTGCCCCTTTGACAACTGAATAACGGGATAGTAAACAAATACTCAGTACCTACTAAAAGGTTACCCACCTTAAACTACATTAGATCTACTATAGCGACGACCTTTAAAATGTTCCTATACTTTTTTTTAGTGTAACTTATCTGTGCACTACAATAATTACAGAAAATTTCACAAATTCGTTAAAATTTGTTCAAATAGCAAAAATGAAATATTATATTTTTTTGTATTGGTTTGGTAGATTAGGTAAGTAATTATTCATATGTACCTACACACATAGCAAAGTGAGGTGATGATAGGTAGAGCAAACCGTCGATTGATTGGTGGGCCGAGGATAGGTAAAAGAAGCGTCAGGCGCCCAATTCAAGGTGGCTCCACGACATAGTACCTACACGTCGCGGGGCGTCAATGGATGCGGCTAGCACAAGACCGTGGTGGATGGCACAAACTTCGGGAGGCCTATACCCAGCAGTAGGTGAAATCAGACTGTGGATGATGATGATGACCTATTTCTTCGGGTTACCTATCAGTAGTCCGAAATGACATTTTCCAGAAATTACGTTTGCTCGAATTTTCATAACCTTGAAAGTAATTTTGAGAGGAAAATGTTTTTTCTTTTAAACCTAACTTAACCTAACGTAACCAAACCTAATCGTGTGTTTGTGATAAACATCCATATCCTGAAAGAACAACGGTTTCGTTATAATTCGCTTTTCGGTGTAATGAAAATTCGAACAAACGTTATTTCGTAAAAAAAATTCGAGTTTGTGATCGATTACCATTTCTTCGACGATATTTCATTATGGAAAAATCTGTCGTACTAAATGTAATAATAATAATAATTCATTTATTTGTGAAAACACAGGTTATATAGAAGCTGACATGTACATAATACGTATAGTTTCACGTGTCCGGCCAAACAGTAGGCATACAAATATTGAAGGTATATATACATTCACTCACATGCACTTCGACAGACTAAACCAGGTGTAACATGTTACGTTTTTCAATAATATTACATGTGTGCACACATGGATTTAATAAGTCGGTCAGAATTTAAACGCGACGATTGTTACATGAGTCGATTTAATGGTAATTAGATGTCAAAATAATATCGTAACATGAATAACGTCAAGAATGTCCAATGTCAAAAACCAGATAATGAATTTAGGGATTATTCATTTAAAAATTCAGACACTGTTTATTACATTTTATGAATCAATAACTTGTTTAATTGTTTTTTAAATAGCATAAGGTTTTTCTCAGACTTTAGTGCTTCCGGTAAATTGTTGTAAATTTTTGGCGTACAAAAATTCTTTTCTGCATGAAAGCAGTTTTACAGGCTTTCAAACTAAGTTGGTCATATCGTCTTGGCTTCAGAGTTCGTGTGCACAAGTGTGAGTGCATTCGGACACACACATGTAAAAACGAATAAAACACACCTGCCAACTACTAATGGTGGTGAAACTACAGATCTTTACGATCAATGCTTTAAGGCGATGAGGTGCCCGAAATCGCTTAAATACGGTGTTTTTGTGTAAGTTTTTAGGCGATAACATAGCACGTGGAGCTTTGAAAATAGTACATCCTGTAACAAGTATCTTGAAGTGTAGCTTGAAATTCCTAGAATATTGCTTATTGTCATAGATAATACGAAAACTGGATTGCAGTGAGACTCTGGTGGTTATTTTTTGACATATTTTTCTCGGGCAAACCAAACTTGCTTACTACCAAATTTGGTGTGGTTATTTAAATGGTACTTATCTTGATCCTGACACTTTATGTGTTTTAAATAAAGGAGAAATAACAAATTTAGGAGTAAAAAGTAACTTTCGCCTACTAAAGTACGAGCTAAATATTTGCTTGCAAATTATGAACAGGCACTTAACACTGTGAAAAAATATCATACACAAAAAAATACGTAAATAAGTACATATAATGCACCAATTCGTTGAAATCAAAACAAAATATTTTTTTTAAAGTCAATTTTCTTACCATTAGATGAGAATAAAAAAAATATTTTTGGTTGGATTAGAACCTAAAACACAAAGTATTCAACTTCTACTGCGTACCTTGCGTTCGTGGGATACGTTGCCAGACCTCTGTTTTGACATGGTATTGACAAATTAATTTATATTGTATTGTAATCGGCTGTCTACCGTCGAGCACGATACAAGATATGTAGTTGGACATAGTTATGCAAACTATAACCAACCCACAAAATGTCACTTTCGAGATAATTAGATTTTTGTAAAAACAGTGTGATGAAATAAATAGGCAAGTTATTTGAGACTAGAGATGCGCCGAGTACTCGTTTGCTACTCGGTACTCGGTGTACTCGGCCGAATAACTCGGTTCTAGAGAATAGCACTCAGTTAAAATAAAGCATCACAGCATTGACTTACAAATAAATGGACGACGGGTCTAATACAAAAACTACGAAAAAAATGTCCCAAGTCAACCTATTTAAACGTGTCATGTAAAGTGTGTGACATGTAAAGGAATATGAAAAAGCTAAAATGTTGAATTTAAATTGTAATGTCATCGCAGTAGTGTCTAATTTTGCTTGCTTCGCTGTCAGTCGAACAAACGAAGACTAATGCGTGAATGACGCTCTGCATACGATTTTAACGCCCTATAAGTTCGGACACTTATTAGCGCGGACCCGACGTCCATATAATAGTAAGTCAATGCATCACAGCTATAGACATAATAAAGTAAAATCAACAATATATTTAAAATATTCAAAAGAGGTTTATTACTAGAATTTGTAGACAATTGTAACAATTTCTAGCAATTTAGTAATTTAAAAAGAAAGTTTACATTATTAATATTTAAAATTTAAAAAAGGCAAGTTATGATGTAGGAATATTTACAACGCTTTCTGCGCGTTCAGGTAATAGTCTGTTCCTTTTTTCTTCATACACATTACCCGCTTCGGCAAATAACCGCTCGCTATACACAGTGCTTGCATGCTGCTGCTTGCACTGCTTGCTTGCAGGTGCACATAAAAACACTCGTGCTAACTGTGCAAGTTTTGGATATTTTGTTTTATGCTCTGCCCACCATTGGAAAGGACTCTGCTCTCGCGACAACAAACTTTAATTGACATATCGGCCTAATTCTAGAGCAACGGGGGCTTTTAGGATCATCGCGTTCCGGTTATAATGAACCCAGTAACTCGGCCGAGTACTCGGTTCGGCAAATGTTAAACCGAGTAATATTCGGTACTCGGTTACTCGGTAAAACTTGTACTCGGCGCATTTTTATTTGAGACAAACGATGTGCTGTAGCAGCAGTAAACATTATGTATCTTTTTATTTAGTTAACGAGAACCATGTTCTAATTTTCGTAATGAAAACGCCAAAGATCTACAGTACTTCAGTACATGTGACATGGATCCGTTTAGCATATTTTAAAAAAGACATTATATTAAGTTAAGCAGCAAAGTTCTTTTTAGCCATTAAAAAGTTACTTACTTAGGGTTGGTACCCTGAACGACTTTTATTTTCTCCGTTTTGGCTTGGTATGTTGCCAGGATCTTTTGTGAGCGGGTAAAGGACACGTCTGGTGTTCTACCTCAATACATAACTCAATTTCACTCGAGGTGTGAGTTGTTTCTTGTTTGCGTAACATGTCAAGTTCTTATATGCTTTGATATTTTGTGGTTTGATAGCATGTGTGTATTTTAAGTACAACGCCATCTCTTAGCGGCAATCAATATTACGTTAAATCGAGCGGAAGGTCCAACTACCACACTCTTACCGCATCGGGGCGTATGGCGTCAACTTATTGGAGAAATTATAGTAGGCGCGTTATCGCTCAAGGTCATCGACGCTTGTCAGCGTCTTAGAAGTGTCACTTGGCATTAGACGCATGACCTGTTCGTTTGATGTCATAAAAAGAAACAAATTCCTGATAATGGCACTGGTTATGTTGTATTTAGTATACGAACAACGCTAAAACAAGTGACAAAATCATGTGTTTTACTAAAAAAATGCGTTCTTTTAATATTAAACTTTTAAATTATTTTTTTTATTGTATGTTTAAATACTCAACGCCACTGCCAATTTAATGAAAATGAAATTAATTTATTTCTCGTAATTATTCACATAATTTTGGCGCTGAAAATCGCTTTACGTATGATCGACATATTACTAATCTAGCCTTTAAAAGATTAATAAATAACGTCTTGGTGGGGATTTTTCACAAAGCCACTTCTTACACAAAGCCTCTATATACAAGCCCCATTGCGCAAGAAGAAAGGACGACAGCATATCAAGCTACACATTGACGAATCTTGCTCCGTTACTCGGAAGACGATATTCGTACAAAAGTGTACCTATGCTTGATGTGCGATTGACTGTATTACGTTGGTGGGCATTTCTTGGTGCGAATTTATGGAATATACCTTACCTTTTGAAGGTTTACAAATATCAGAAGTCAACATACTTACATATAGAAGATATTAATACGAGATAAAATATTCCTTACAATAGCCTTTATTTGATGTAACTTAGGTAAAAACACAAAAATATTGTGAATAAACCATATTGGTCGTGCCGGGCAGAGGTTCTAGAAGAATGCAGAAATTGTTAGACGTGAAAGCTTATGTCACCTTGTGACTCAGGTACATACACTCGCACCCGGCTGGTATCTCCATTGTTTTGGTCTCCCAACAGTCGCTACAATAAAACATGATTATTATATATTTACATACAATATATTCACACGTTGAAATTAATACAATCACGAAAGGAATTAAATCTACTTTCTGGAAATAGTATTAGGATATTTTGCTTCATGGATACGTTACTTTTAAAAAAACCGACCTCAAAAGGCATTCATCCCCTACTTTACCACTCTTAGAGGTGGAATATTTCCCTCAAATTTCAATGGGACACCTTCTGAGGTAGCCTCTTTCCAACAAAAAAAGAATCATCAAAATCGCGGATCTAATCTAATGCCAAATGGCGGAGTTATCGCATAACATACATACAAAAAAATATATACTGACGAATTGAGAAACTCCTCCTTTTTTTGAAGTCGATTAAAAAGTAATTACAGTGCTTCTATCTTCTCAATGTCTGTCGGCAAACTTCGTATCTCGGCTGTCGTCGGGTTTTATTCAGTTACCCATTGCCTTTGGTACAGACCGGACGCTTTCAGTTGACTTGGAAGTAAAAACGACCTCAAAAGTTCATGGAATTACAACTATTTACCAATATTTATTAAAATCGGTTACCGGAAAGTGCGCAAAACCAGATTCATCGCCTAGTTTGCCACCCTTAGAAGTGGAATATTTTCTTCAAATTTAACTGGGACTGGGTTCCCTCTTTCCAAAAAAAAGAATCATGAAAATCGGTTCACAAATGCCGGAGGACTCACGTAACATAAATACAAAAAAGTATATAGTCGAATTGAGCCTCCTCCTTTTTTGGTTTGGGTAAAAAATGAATAAATTATTAAACCGGCAAATACACACATCAAAAGTGTCTAGGGATCAAGTGAATATTTTTGAAATAAAAATTATTTAAGCAATATTTACCAAATCCAGTCTTCCAGGACGACTTCTTACTTTAATGCTTATGTTTTATTTAACCGCTTACCCCTATATTTAATTAAAATAAACTAAAATTGATGTTTTTGCAAATTGTGGAAAAAAACTCAAATTAACGGCGTCAATTAAATGACAAAAAAATGGCGAAAATGATGATTTTGCTCATTTTTATTGTAAAGGTAAGAAAATTAATAATCTGTATTTCCACCATTAACACGAATCACACAATTACAGCGATTTGGCATGCTTAAGATGAGTTCATATAAATCACTTTGAGGAATGGCCGCCCATGTGTTTTGTAACAAGTCAAAATATTGTTGTAGAGTATGTACGGTATGCATACTCGGCACAGCTCTTCTTTGAAGCATATCCCATGCGTGCTCAATTGGATTGAGGTCTGGCGATTGAGCAGGCCACGGCAGAACGTTGATACGAGCTTCGGCAAGAATGCGTGTTACGACTCTAGCCGTGTGTGGACGTGCGTTGTCATGCATTAGTTGAAATGAATCACCCAACTGGCCTCGCAAAGGGATGATAACATCTGAAACAATCCTCTCTGCGTAAACTTGAGCATTGAAGTTACCCCTGATCCAAATGAGATCGGTTCTTCCGCCGATCCAAATACCGGCCCATATCATTATTGTTCCCCCACCATATGGATGAACTTCCTGACAATATCTCAACCGTTCATGACGTCCAGATGTTCTCCAAACTCGAGTACGTCTTGTATCCGGTCTCATACCGAAGCGAATTCATCCGAAAAGCACACATAGCGCCAGTCTTCTTCCTCCCAGTTTCTGTGTTCGCGAGCCCATCGTAAACGGGTCCTGCGATTGCAGGGTGCAATAGGTGGAACTCTGAGCGGCCTTCGGGATCGCAGACCCACTTCACGTAAACGATTTCGGATTGTTTAATCGCTTACTAGCAAGCCTGAGGAGCTGTGGAGCCTCGTAACCAACATCATGGCGGTCATGGTACGATTCCGTCGAGCAGTATTTTGGATATACCGGTCCTGTCTGCGAGTCGTGATGCGAGATCGTCCTCCATGTCGCTCGGCCACGCTGCCCGTCATGCGATAGCGCGTCCAGAGGCGACTTATGACGCTCTGTGTAGTGTTAAGAGTGAAAGCCACAGCACGTTGCCTGGAACCAGCTTCCAACATTCCGACGGCTCGCATCATCACTTCTCGGGTTAAATGATGTCGTCTCTCCATAATAATGTAAATTGTTTCGGTTCCGATGCAGATATTGTAATGATTTTGTCAAAACGCTATAACTCATTTTTATACAAAACCACATTGACAATCGATTTTCTTCTTATTATCGAATTTTAAACAATATTCCTTATTTAAATGTTAAAACTCACTAAAAAGTATCAATAGCGATACAAAAAAGTTAATATAATTAACCCTAATTGCAGCAATACTCTTAAACGTACTTGATCCCTAGACACTTTTGATGTGTGTATTCATTTTTAGTTGCCTCCGCGGCCAAAAGGTTGTGGACTGCCACCCAGGGGTACCGGGTTCGATTCTCGGGCCTACATTTATTTCTCTCGTGAGTTTGGATGTAATTTGTAGTTGTCTGTCTTTGGTGTGTGTCCATGGCACCCGGGACACAGGGTTTCCCTAGTGCGTGCGTTTAAAAAAAAATTGTGTGTGCGTTTAAAAAAGTTATACAAAAGAAACACACTTTATTTACTTTATATTTTTGTTAACTTGCTTATTGACATTGACATGGAGATTTTAAATTGAAATTAATATTTGTGTACGTTCAGAATGGAAATCCCACGATTGCTGTGAGACGTTGATAAAATAGAAGAACTTGTTATACAGCATTCAAAAAATTTTAAAAGTTACTTGCCTAATCTGGGATTTGAACCGAACAAACGTGAAAACAAAATTGTTACAAGTAACATGTACGTTAATCTAAAAGAACACCGTTCAATTATGCAAATTATTCAAACAAGAAACCAACTTGAAACTGCCAATGTAGCTATGGTATTTACAATTAGTAAGTAGATTACGTCTTGTATGCAACATTCTCAATGTTTTGATAAGTTTGCTGCGTGTACATTTTCTTTCTTGTTACGACGGACAGCTACTCGAAACAATACACCCGAAATCTGTTTGTAACTCGTCCACATTGTCAAATTGCTTCTATATATAATAAGTATAATAAGTAACCGAAAACTACGAACGTCGACAGTAAAAATCGTTGAATTCAGTTACTTTATAGTTACTTTTAAAAATAAATAATGTCTCCATGAAGCAAAATATCTTTCTTAACCCTTTCATGTACAGTACTGCACTGATGTCGTATTTTCTTGCCGTAGTGCCGTATTCAATTCAATGTATGTAAATCATTAAATAAATTAATATTAGTCAACACCACATACGTTGCTCCAATCCCAAAGTAAGTAACTAAAGCACTTGTGTTACGGAAATCGGAAACAACGACGGCACCACAAACACCCAGATTCACAGAGACACAGAGATTCGGATTCGGATACGATATCGTTATCCAACTGCGTTTACGGAGCTGATCGGTGAAATAGATTATAAGAAAAATTAAAATCCTTTTGTATACATTTTTAAGATTTTTATGACATAAACTATAGGAATACATTAGTCTTGCATAAATTAATAATTTAATAAAATTGAACAAAATCCAGACTTCATTTAAAATAATAAGAGATTTGCATACTGCGATCTTGCTTTGTAAACAATAGGACGTTTGGTAACTTTTCGTTAACTGTGTTCTGAATAACGTTTGTAGCCTTTGTCGGTCGTGAAGCTCGAGTAATCGTACGGGTGTGACGTCATTTCGGTTCGATTTCGAATACGACAGTTTGACGTCCGATTCGGACCCGAGACCTCAGATATGGCAACACCATTAAAACCGGTGTGCAAGCCACTCGACCACACAGGTCGTCTTATTTCATATATCATTGAATTTTGTCAGTATCTTGTTGATACTTCTCTATGGTAAAGCAATAGACGACAACTGCACAGAAAAGACGTGAAAATCGCACTGTAAAGTCCGTAGGTAGTTTTTTGAGATCCATATAGTGAAACGGGGTACCCCGTACTATTATTTTCTGATATTTAATTTGTCAGTAAACGCTATTACAGTCCAAGAAAGGGTTAACTACAATATTTAAAGTACTTTCCTTCCGTGTCCTAGCCGTGAGATGCCCTGTATACTCTATGGTGTCGCCCTCACCGCCAGCTCAAATGCTTCATCATTGTTGGCGCACAGTATGATGATATATTAGTTAGTATTTACTAACCTAGAGAAACGTCTTCTCGTGTAATGAATAGTTTTGTTCAATTGGACACACGACAATCCGATTTTGGAACAAATCTGAAAGCACAACATTGTTTTTTTAACCCGTCACGAGTCCTATAGACACACGGCGTCCTTAACGATTTTGGTACATGTTTCGTTTTTTTTTTACTTAAATGGTGGATAAAAACACATGCGTATTAGGCACAACGCGTGCTCTTCGAAGCTACAGTACCAAAATCTTTGGGTCAAAAAAAAACAAACAGGTAAATGAAACAGAATATCAGTAACACAAATTCACTGGCAGTGATATTAGTTCGACTGTACGAAAATTTAAATGTCACCATATATATAGGGGTTAAAGTATGAAATTGCCGTTTTATTGCAATAGGTTCTTTG